TTTTAGGTAAGAAAATTACTATTCCTTAAATTAATTAGCTGATTGATAACCTTTATTTATGACCACTAATACTGTCATGATTTTAACCAAAATTTCGACTATTTTCAAAATAACATGAAATAATTGAAAAAAGTAATTAATTAAAATGTGATATTCTAAATTGTTTATAAATGATGAAATATTAAATATGCAAAAAAAAAAAGAAAAATCTAACTATATTTATCAATCGGTTTAACTAAAACTGAAATGATTGATTTCAATGGATTAAAATTATAATAAAGTTAAAAAGTAATGGAGCATAGTTCTCAAAAAAAAAATTTAACTTTTGTAGGAAATAGTAGTTGTTATTTATCGTCAATCGTTTTTCAATTTCAATCGAAACTTTCGAAATTTTAAATTGTTGATTAAAATTTTTGCAATTTTTTAGCAATGCTAAACACTGTAACAGCACCGGTTTGGGATTCTCCGTTTGTCACTGAACCTTATCAACGATCAGTTGATGATATGAAGGATGTTGGCGAAACCGATGGAACAGGATGTAAAAAAAATTAATTTTTAATCTAAAGGGAAATTTTAAATTTTCGAGATTAATAAATCTGTAAAGTGGTAGATGCAACTAATATGCGATCCTAAATTTTGCTACTTCAAACAAGCATAAATATTATGCATTTCCTCTAACTGTGTTAAATAAAATTAAATTGATAAAAATCGAATATTAATAATTAATTTATGTACTTCTTCTTTCTTTTCTTTCAAAGGGTGGATAATACCATTTATCATACTGATTTCACTGATAATATTGATTGGAATATCTTGTATGTTCAAACGTAAAAGATCACGGAAGCAATGGTCGATACCAGTAAAAGATCCCGAAGTTATTGGTCAGTTTTAGAATTATTCGAATATTTTTTAAAGAAATCAAAATCTAAAAAATTGCAAAACAAATTTGAACTTTGCATTCTAAAAGTATTATTAGAATTTACAAAGGATGGAAAAAATGAAGAAAAAATGGAAAAAAATTCTTTTCTTAGTGATAAAGTATTCGAGTAATTATATTAACAGCAATATCTTTGTCCTGTTTTCAGTTCCATCTAAAGATCCCGAAGATTTACCATTAATTCCGGCTAAGAACAGTAAGTTTTGTGTTTTTTCTTTCCCTTTTTCTAAATCCTTTATTGAATAGTCCGGAAAAAATAATTACAATTTTCCTTTATCATTTTAGATAGTTATCATTTTCCTTTATCATTTTTAGTAACTATCATTTTCCTTTGTCACTTTTAATAATTATCATTTTTCTTTATCATTTTTAACGACTATCATTTTTCCTTGCCATTTTTAATAATTATCATTTCCCTCTGTCATTTTTAATAATTATCATTTCCCTCTGTCATTTTTAATAATTATCATTTCCCTCTGTCATTTTTAATAATTATCATTTCCCTTTGTCATTTCTAATAATTATCATTTCCCTTTGTCATTTTTGATATTCACTATTTTCGAACACAAACTGAAAGGAAAAATGCAATGAACAATTGAAGTTTCAAATTTATTGGACATTATTATAATGTATGATTATTAGCAAATGATTGAAAAATTGAAACTTTTTTAAACATTAATTAGCATGGGCGGTATTTGAATTTAAAAAATGCATTTATAATTGAAAAAGTTACGAGAAAAGCAGATGGCTCAATGAAGTAAGACACTTGGACTGGTCACACTAGTTTATAATCTTAATTAAAACTCATTTCGATAATAAAAATTTAATCTTTAGTTAATTAGGTGACGGATTTTATTTCTTTTTTAAAATTCCAACTTTAAATTTTTGCAAATTAAAAAAAGTAATTCAAATTATCCCATTATTAATAGAATTTATTAATAAAATTGGTAAAAATTAATTTTGAGACTTTTTCATAATTTCATCGTATTTTGTTTTTTTTTTAGATGAGAAGCAAGCAGTTGTAATCAAAAATGATTTTGCTTTGCCGGAACCTGATCAACAACTTGATACTGCAGTACAGAGCCGGAATGTTGATGACTTACAATCAGCGGAATCAAGAAATGCTTTAAATGTAGAAGCGGTAATTACTATTCAACAACCAGGAAATAATTCAAGAGTAGGTTTATGATACATGCATGTATTTTATTGATAACATATGTGTCATCTGATGTTACTTACAATTCGTGCTATTATCTTAACTCTAAACTGGGATTTGAATTTTATTTCCTATTTTAATTATTCGCTATGATCAATTTTTCCTTTGCCATTTTAATTATTTGTCGTGAATAAATTTTATTTACTATTTTAACCACTCTTTTTTCTTTTTTACAATTTTAATTATTCGCTGTGGTAAAATGTTTTGTTGAAGAAATACTGTCGCATTACAAAATATTAGATGTCTCTTTGTGATCATAAAATTTCATTTTTTTATTTTTTGCATAAGAAGAAAAGGGAATGATGGAATAGCATATGCATATAAGGTATAATTTTTTCAAGTGCAGTTTTAGGTAAGAAAATTACTATTCTTTAAATTAATTAGCTGATTGATAACCTTTATTTATGACCACTAATACTGTCATGATTTTTAACCAAAATTTCGACTATTTTCAAAATAACATGAAATAATTGAAAAAAAGTAATTAATTAAAATGTGATATTCTAAATTGTTTATAAATGATGAAATATTAAATATGACAAAAAAAAAAAAGAAAATACTAACTATA